AAAAAAAAAAAAAAAGAAAAAAGAAAAAAAACCCACCAATGATGGATATCTCCATCAATGTCATATTTTGGCCATAACCTTGAAATATTCTCAGTAGATTTAGAAACGTTACAGATTGCAAAATGGCCACAGAGCTTTGCAGCTCCTTTACCATAGGTGGAGCCTATTTTCCCAGTCCTTGCAACTTCCTCTCACACCAGGAACTCATATGCCACTATGTGAACAGACACCAGTTTCGCGGGGTTTGAGAGACCACATGGAGCAAATCCCCAGCCATCCCAGATGGCTCCTGCCTCAGCTATCTCAGCAGAGGCCCAAACATGGGTGAGCCTAGCAGCACTATATGGGGCCATCCACAGAACCACTGCAAGTGAGCCCAACACTAATTGTTGATCCAAATAATTATAAGAAAATACATGGTGGTTGTTTAAGTGACTAAGTTTCCATTAAAAGTTCAATGATACAAAACCAATATATTTTGTCTATTTTCTTTTATTACAGTTACTAGAGGTCATAACATCTAAATTCCATTGTTTCACATGTACCTTTAACAGGCTTACCTTTTTAATCTTCTCTTTCACTTTATATAAAAGGCAAATGCAATCCTGCACCATTTCTGTTCTCTCACATCCATTTCCCAAATAATTCTATTATAGCTTAAATGTATGCTTCTCTCCATTTTTATCCTACTAGGCACAACCCTAGTTTGCGCTTCCATTGTCTTCTATTTGCATTATTAATGTAACAGTCTCCTAAACACACTTCTTAAATACAACAGGTTCTCTTTCATTTGCATCCTGTTGACATGTTTTGCCTATAGAACCATCCTTCTGAAATATCAACCTGTACATCGTGCTCTCTTGCCTGTATCTTTCAATGGTTCCCATTGCCTGTGAATAAGTCCCAGGCTCAGAATGACATACGGATCCTAGATTTATTTTAGTCGTCATTTCCTACATCCACAGCTGACACCCTATATAGTCCAGACATAAAGAATTACCCCAAACTAAGAATGATCAGTAAATCATTTGTGGATAATCTGGACTACAATATAACCATCATTCTCCTGTATAAATTCTGTTCATCCACAAAATTCATAATCCCTAGAAAGACTTTCCTGATTGTACTCTCACTCCATTTTCTGCTCTCTGTATAATTATTAAATAAGTTATATCTGGTTATGCAAAGTATAATTATTGAAGTATATGGGGCATAGTCATTTTGACTCTCACAGCCATGAAAATCTTCGTCCTTTAAGGCAATTTTCTGTTTTTTTTTTTCATGTTTAAGTTTTTCTTTTTTTATTTGTGTGTTTAAAATTTTTATACATGTTTCCAACTTATACTCTTAAAAGCCATAGCTAATTTGGCCATCAATCAGGTCACTAAAAAAAGAAATTAAAAAACTTATTAACAAACAAAATTGTGTAAATTTGTGGTATATGACATGATGTTTGGAAATATATATCCATTGTGAAATGGTTACATGAAGTCAATTCACATGTGCATTACCTCACATATTTATCATGTGTTTTTGGTGAAAATGCTTAAAATCTACTTTTAGAAATTTTAAGTATATGGTACATTGTATTAATTATAGCCACCATATATTGTACAACAGATCTCTTGAACTTATTCCTTATGTCGAACTGAATTTTCTATCCTTTGGTCAACATCTCACTGATCTTACCTCCCTCCCTCCAACCCCTGGCAACCACCATTCTACTCTCCGCTTCTATGAGTTTGATGCTTTTAGAATTCAAATATAAGTGAGATCGATCATCTGGTATTGAAGAAAATGTTTTTCCTGGTGATTTTGCTAACAGAAAAGGAATAACTGAAATATTTCCATTTGAATTTTTGGACAATTTACTTAAAGTGTCAGGACCCATTTTCTTCATTCATAGGAAACAAAAAATCATATTTACTTTGTCTGGTATATTTTATGTGAAAGTATTTCAGTGGTGTCTGGGACATATTTTTCCAGTGAATAAAAGTCATCTTTTTCTTGATGTGACAAACTAGTTCTGATATCACTTAAAAAAACAACAAAAAAAGATTTTAACATTCTTTGGGGCTGTGATAACATTTTTGAAACACCTGTGTCACCACTCACAGGAACCAGTTTGAAGGAAAATACTAATTTGCATGTATAAGTTCTCACCTTATTTTTTCAATAGTTGTCCTGTGAGGTAGATTGCATTCCAAATACTTTGTCTGTAGATATGTGGCTGACTAGGCATTGGTATTTATGGTATTCAAAGGAAAGTTTGTGAGAGGTGAGTCCCTCCCTTATGCTGTTTCTCATTCTTACTCACCTGAAATAGTTTAGGAATGAGGAGGTTTAAGGACCTACCAAAATTAGGAATGCCTTCCCTTCCTAGATAGACTACAATGTTTTCAGAGTGAGGTATCTGGATACCAGAGTGAGAAAACAATCCAATGGTTTTTATGTTTGGGAATTAAGAACTGGTACCTGTGCCACTTCCACATCGCCATTGAAGGTGGGAGGCTGCTATTGACATATTCCTGAACCCAACTCAGGAATGTTTTATGCAGTGTTTGTCTGCAGGTATTCACATGCTCTCCATGGGCAAGACCAGGAGCCTATTTCTAATTATTCTAAGCAGTTAGAATCCTTCTAACACTGAAGAACAAAAATTTATATTCTTCAATAGAATCAGTGAACATCAAGTACCCATGCTTTTTTGACAAGAAGACACGTCCCAGAGAAATTCTGTAACACACATTTTTCCCTTGTTGTGCAATTCTCTTTCTTTATTACTCTATTTTGTAGAAGAAGACACATAAATTGTAGGAGTTCCTTGCTCAGGCAATTCCATGTATTATATAAAGGAAAGGAAAACACTATTATAAAGGATATGCCTAGCAGGCTCCCCAAGGCTCTCTCATGAGACAGGATGTGTAGCAGAAGATTGTTGAGAGCATGGGAGGTTCGGGAGCCTGATTCACTAATGGGCTCTTAAGATTTAAACGTTAATACATAAAATGGCTCGATTGTTTTTATGTGAGATGGTTCTATAAGTTTGTATGCAGCTTTTTGTCCCTTGAATTATTTTCCTAAAACAAATTATAGACATAGAGATTATCTTTTCATTAACACTAGACTTGCAGTTGTTTGGAAGAGAGTTCCTTATTCAGCCTTTGTTTCTTTTATTGTTATAGATTTATTCGGGGATTTGACTTCTTGAATCAACTTTGACACTACTTCTATTTTATCAGTATCTTTCTTTGTTTTTTATAGTGTTTTGAGCTTGGTTTTGCTTCAGCTGATATGGCTTCTTTTGGGGTTTTTTGGCCTTTGCCGGATATGATATGGTCCATGCCCCTCTGTTTAGCCTTTCTTTGTCATTTGGTGTTCCATGTCATATTTTTGGTAGAAAAAAACACTGCTGGACTTAGTACATTAACCTAATTAATTGCTTTTGCCTTTGAAATTTCTATTCTATTCACTTTTAGGATGATAGCTGATATGTTTCCTTGTATTTCTTTCATCTTATTTTATATTTATTAAACGTGTGCATTGTTATTAAGGTACAATTTCCAAAAACTAAGAACACAAATTTTGAGTATGATGTTCAGCAATTTTTTTACATAGGAGCATATGCAGACAACTGTCACCCAGATCAAGATACATAGGAGTGGAATTGCTGGATCAATTTAGTAGGCATATGTTTAATCATATCAGAAACCATCCAATAATTTTTCAACAAGTATCATTTTATACTTTCACCAGCAAAATACAAGTTTAAGTTATCCCGTCTGCTTGCTATCACTTCATATTGTCAGTTTTAAAAAATTTGCCTATTCTGCTGCACGGGTTCTGATATCTTATTGTGATTTTAATTTATATTTCTCTTGAATATCTTTTCCTATGTTAATGGAAATTTGGTTATCTTCTCATATTAATAGCCTAATGAAAACTTTTATCAATTAAAAAAAATTAGTCCATCTAAAAACAGAGTTGTGTGTCTTTTTCTCGATTTGTAAGTTTATTATAAATGTTGATTAAAGGTCTTTGATACGTGAATTACATATTTTCCCAACATATGAGAATTTTAAAACTTTCTTAATTGTGTCTTTTTTGAGGGCATGTTTTTTGTTTGCGTGTAGTCCAATTTACTTTTTATTACTTATTAAATAGTGTAGTTTTCATCCTGACCAAGCACTTATTACTAATGCTGAGGTTAACATACATTCCTATATCCTTCAGAAGTTTTATAGTGTTAGCTCTTGCATTTTGCTCTCTGTTACATCTCAAATTAACTATTGTGAATTTGGGTCACAGTATACTCTTTCCATATGGGCATCCAGTTTTTATAGTATAATTGGTGAAAAGACCTTGTAATCCCCATTGAATTCTGGTGGCGCTTTAGGGGGGAAAAAAACTCTAGTAATCATATATGACTAGTTGTATTTCTGGACTCTTCTCTGTTTCTTTGATTTATTTTTGGTCCTTAGGTTAACACCACACTATGTTTACTACTGTAGCTTCACAGTAAGTCCTGAAATCAGATAATGTAAACATTCCAATTTTATTCTTTATCTTCCATCCTTGTCTTGGTTAAAATAATTCCTTTGCACTTCAGTATATACTTGAGCAACAACTTGTTAATTTTAATAAAATTTTTGGACTTTTTATTGGAATTGCATTGAATTTTTATATCAATTGAAAAAGAAATTGCGTTATAAAATAGTGAGTATTCTAGTATGTCTCCACTTATTTCAATCTTCTCTAAGCCCTAAAACATTTTATACTTTTTGGTTTAGAAATCCTGCCATCTTCCACTGAAATTGGATTCTTGATACTTAGTGTTTTCTAATGCTATGGTGAATGGTATTCTTTATGAATACCATTTTAGAGCCGTTTTCCAACAGTTTGTGGCTGTTCTATAGGCAAGCAATTGATATTTTCTATTGATCATGTGTCCTGTGATCTTGCAAATTATTTTGAACAATTTAATAATAATTAATAATTTAATAATTTAAAAGTATATTTCATAGGATTGTATAGATATAATGGCATGCCTGTAAGTAATGACAGCTAAGACAATTTTACTTATTTCATAAATCTAATCTTTCATTTCTTTTTTCTTGCTTTATCCACAGGTGAGGACCTTCAGTATAATGCTGTCTAGCAGTGGTGAAAGTAGACAATTTGCCTTCTTCTCTGAATTAAGAGTAAAATGTTTAATATTTAAACATTATACAAACATTATATATGCCTAGCTTTTTTCGACATATCTTTTATCAGACTGATGAAATTATCTTCTGTTCCTAGTTTTCTGAGAATGTATACCATAGTTATTTTTATCAATTCCTTTTTCATCTATCAATAATTTTCTTCTTAATGACATATCTCCCTCCCTCCCTCCCTCCCTTCCTTCCTTCCTTTCTTCCTCTCTCCCTCCCTCTTTTTTTTCAGAGTTTCACTCTTGTTGCTCAGGCTGGAGTGCAGTGGTGCAATCTTGGCTCACTGCAACCTCTGCCTCCCGGGTTCAAGCTATTCTCCTGCCTCAACCTCCAGAGTAGCTGGGATTACAGGCATCTGCCACCATGCCCGGCTAATTTTTTGTATTTTTAGTAGACACGGGGTTTCACCATGTTGGCCAGGCTGGTCTCCAGCTCCTAATCTCAGGTGATCCACTGCCTTGGCCTCCCAAGCTGCTGGGATTACAGGCATGAAACATTGTGTCCAGCCTGACTGATTTTCAAATGCTATACCAACCTAATTTCCTGAGATAAAGCCCAGTTGGTCATGATATGTCTTTTTAAATTTATCACTGAATTAATTTTTCTATTGTTTTATTAGGATGTTTACATCTAAATTCACAAAAGGTATTGGTCTATAATTTATTTTTTCCTGAAAAATAGTTGCTAAGTTTTGGTATCAAGTTTTAATTAGTCTCATAAAGCAAGTTAGGAAGTTATTCCTCTTTTTTTTTTTTTTTTAAATAATGTGTGTATTGTTGCTATTATCATTTTCTTAAGGGTTAATAAAGAAGTCTGAAGACTGGACCTGGATTTTTAAATTGAGGTGTTCACTCCCTAATTTTAAAATTCAATTCATTTAATAGATAGAACAATATTTAGAGCTTCTGATTTTCCCCTTCCATTAGTTTCAGTAAGCTACATTTTTCAGGATTTTCTTTGTATCAACAAAGATGAAAATTGTGTTAGCATGATGTATTTTAAAAGTAATATTGTTATTAACTCAACCCTTGTAGAATCTTTGGTGATGCCTTCTATATACAGTTTTTGGTATTTGTTTAACTTAGGGGTATGTGTGTGCATGTGTGTGTGTGCCTATGCATGTGTGTAGATGTATTTAATTTCCAAATATAAGTGTGTTTCTGAATGTATCTTTCTGTTACTAATTTCTACATAAATTGCATCTGTAGAGTGAGTTCTGGAAAATTTATAGCTTTATCTCTTAAAATATTAATTCCCCTCAATTTCTTCCTTCTGTGGCCTCTAAGTCTATATATGCCAGAGTTTCTTATTTAATTCTCAGAATCTCTAATTGTGTTTTTTTTCCCCATTTATTTATTTTATTGCATTTTAGGTTTTGGGGTACATGTGAAGAACATGCAAAATTGTTGCATAGGTACACACGTGGCAGTGTGATTTGCTGCCTTCTTCCCCATCACCTAC